CCAGCTACTTGGGAGGCTGAGGCAAGAGAATCTCTCAAGCCCAGGAGTTGGAAGTTGCTATGAGCTATGACTCTACCCAGGTGTGATGGCTTGAGGCTCTGTCTCAAAAAGAAAAAGAAACTACATTCCAAGGCTAGGAGCAGTGGCTCACACCTGTAATTATAGCACTCTGAGGTTCAAAACCAGCCTGAGCAAAAGGGAAACCCACTAAAAATAGAAAAATTAGCTGGGCACTGTGGCAGACACCTGTACTTTCAGCTACTCAGGAGGCTGAGGCAAGAGGATCACTTGGACCCAGGAGTTTGAGACTGCTGTGAGCTAGGGTACAGCCATAGCACTCTAGCCTGGGGCAACAGAGTGAGACTCTGTCTCAAAATAATAATTATAATTACATAGTGTGGGTCTGACTGGACCTCAGAGGGTACAAGCCAGAATCTAGACAGAAGATTATTGGGTCTAACAATCGACCCTTGCTTTGACTTTCTGCTCTGTGACTCAGCACTCCTGTCTATAACTTGAGCTGGGGAAAAAGAAGGAGCCACACTCCTGGAGAGGTTAGGGGACCAGGGGGAGGACCGGGAAAGTCTGAGATATATGTCTTTGTACTCCTCCTCACTCCTGTGTAGAAAGGGTAAGAAGGGGTGCTGCAGCACCTCCCGGTATTGACGGCACCTTTAACCTCTGTTCACACAGGGACAAAAGGCCCTGATGTCTTTCACTGCTGTCTGCGAAGATGATGGCACCTGGCATCGTGCCATGCCCAGGTGCAAGAGTAAGTCAGGGATATGTCTGCCCCTGGGGTCCATCCAATCCTTAACCTTGGGGACCTGCACTGAGAAGAAGAGAGGGGATCTAGACTAAGCTTCTCCCCAAGAGATCCTCCCCCTAGCTTGTCCTGGGATGCCTATGGCCCCTTGAGCTCTCATCTCAGCAGGAATGATGGGACGTGCCCAGAATTCACGTTCACTCCATCCAACTCTCAACAATTGCAAGTATCCTCCCTATTAATCATATTTTTCTAAGATTCTCAGCCTGTTCTGTGGATAGAAAACTCATTCCAGGCTGGGCACGGTGGTTCACACCTGTAATCCTAGCACTCTGGGAGGCCAAGGAGGGTGGATTGCCTGAGCTCATGAGTTCAAGACCAGCCTGAGCCAGAGAGAGACCTCATCCCGAAAAATAACCAGGCGGTGTGGTGGGAACCTGTAGTCCCAGCTACTTGGGAGGCTGAGGCAAGAGAATCACTTAAGCCCAAGAGTTTAAGCTTGCTGTGAGCTGTGACACCATAACACTCTACCAAGGGGGACAAAGTTAGACTCTGTCTTAAAAAAAAAACTCATATTTCTTCCACTGAAGTTCCCACCTAGTCATTCTCACTCTCATATGGCCCTGTGTTCTCTCCAAGTCAAGGACTGTGGGCAGCCCCGAAGTCTGACTAATGGGGATTTCCGTTATACCACCAAAGAGGGGGTGAACACATACCAGGCGCGTATCCAGTATTACTGCCACGAACCATATTACAAGATGCAGACCAGAGATGGCAGCAGTGAGTTGGAACGAGGTAGGGACCAACGCAAATGGCAGTCTTCTCTCTTCCCTCTTCTTGAGACATTCTCTGTGATTTCTCCCAATAGAATCTCTAGGGGATGTATATTAAGGTATCTGTTCAGAGCATTGGCTTCAGGGGCCTAAATTACAGTACCAAGAGTAATCTAGAAGGTTTGAAGGAGGAGGCATCTGACCTGATGCAAAGAAAAGACTTGAATCTCATTAACAGTTGGCTCATTCTCAACACCATCGCCACCACCACCAGCCACCCCGCTGCTACCACCATGACCACCACCACCAGTAACAACACTATCATCAACAGCACCAACACCAGTACAATCACTGCCAACACCGTCACTACCATGACCGACACCAATATCACCATCACCATCAACACCACTATCACTGCTGACACCATCATCATCATCACCATCACCACTACCATCACTCCAACACCTCCATCACCACTCCTGCCGCCGTTACCACCATCACCACCACTGTCACCACTACTGCAACTATGTCAGTGAGGCTAACTCCACTATACTTCCCCGTCAAGCTAGTATGTTGTGATATTTTGCATTTAGTTTTACAAAGTGACTCTCAAACTCATGTATGGGTATCTTTAAAACTTTTTAAAATAGGGTGGCACCTGTGGCTCAGTGAGACTCTGCCTCTAAAATAAATAAATAAATAAAACTAAAAAAAAAA